CAGCAGGCTGGACTTGAGACCTGGAGATGGTAAGTACAGTGCCTGCACTCTGAAGGAAGGGTGTTAATGTTGCAGTTTTATAAACTGTAGTGTAAAGCACCCCTCTGGCAAGACAGGGATAAGTGAATGATGGTGAAAGTTTTTTTTTCAGGCCACTCTGCCTTGGTGAGAATCGGATAGTTTTTAATAAATAAAAAAATAACGCCTTTAGCAACTCACTTCCTTTATTTGTTCGTTCTTTGCCAGGATAGAAGCGATGCTCGACTTGTTTTTCCCATACATCCTGGCAAGCTCAACAAGTTTCACACCACTCTAATACTTCTGTATTATTCCTTCTTCAATCTATGGTGTTTCTCACTTTCTTTACCACGGGGTACCACTAGCGAGTTTCTTTGGGCCCATGGTAACTTATTTCCCCAGTCCCTCAAGCACTGAACACAATGAATTAATCGTAAAATGTTTTAAAGAGAGCACAGGTTAGTGTTCACTCAAGCATCAACAAAGCCACACTGGCTCATGGTGCCTGCACGGGGACATGGACAGTGGGCTGGTGGGCAGGTCCGGTACCCGGCAGTTCGAAAATAGGGGCGAGTTCAGTAATAGGGACAAAGTTGGTGCGAAAAAAGCTATTGATTTTTGAAGTATTCGAAATTTGAGGTTCCACTGTATTTAGAGTATTGTGTTGCAGTGCAAAGACAGCCAATGTCATGCCTAGGCATTATGGGCAGACTTAATTTAATGGCTTACAGACTTTTTAATACTTAAGAAATTTATCATAGTTTAAGTTGAACAATAGTTTCAATAGTACAATTATTATAATTATACAATTGTATGACTAAGAAAAAACTTTTGTTTCTTGTGTTTACCTGGAGTTTACCTGGAGAGAGTTCCGGGGGTCAATGCCCCCACGGCCCGGTCCGTGACCAGGCCTCCTGGTGGATCAGAGCCTGATCAACCAGGCTGTTGCAGCTGGCTGCATGCAAACCAACGTGCGAGCCACAGCCCGGCTGATCAGGAACTGACTTTAGGTGCTTGTCCAGTGCCAGCTTGAAGACTGCCAGGGGTCTGTTGGTAATCCCCCTTATGTGTGCTGGGAGGCAGTTGAACAGTCTCGGGCCCCTGACACTTATTGTATGGTCTCTTAACGTGCTAGTGACACCCCTGCTTTTCATTGGGGGATGGTGCATCGTCTGCCAAGTCTTTTGCTTTCGTAGTGAGTGATTTTCGTGTGCAAGTTCGGTACTAGTCCCTCTAGGATTTTCCAGGTGTATATAATCATGTATCTCTACCCTCCTGCGTTCCAGGGAATACAGGTTTAGGAACCTCAAGCGCTCCCAGTAATTGAGGTGTTTTATCTCCGTTATGCGCGCCGTGAAAGTTCTCTGTACATTTTCTAGGTCGGCAATTTCACCTGCCTTGAAAGGTGCTGTTAGTGTGCAGCAATATTCCAGCCTAGATAGAACAAGTGACCTGAAGAGTGTCATCATGGGCTTGGCCTCCCTAGTTTTGAAGGTTTCATTATCCATCCTGTCATTTTTCTAGTAGATGCGATTGATACAATGTTATGGTCCTTGAAGGTGAGATCCTCCGACATGATCACTCCCAGGTCTTTGACGTTGGTGTTTCGCTCTATTTTGTGGCCAGAATTTGTTTTGTACTCTGATGAAGATTTAATTTCCTCATGTTTACCATATCTGAGTAATTGAAATTTCTCATTGTTGAACTTCATATTGTTTTCTGCAGCCCACTGAAAGATTTGGTTGATGTCCACCTGGAGCCTTGCAGTGTCTGCAATGGAAGACACTGTCATGCAGATTCGGGTGTCATCTGCAAAGGAAGACACGGTGCTGTGGCTGACATCCTTGTCTATGTCGGATATGAGGATGAGGAACAAGATGGGAGCGAGTACTGTGCCTTGTGGAACAGAGCTTTTCACCATAGCTGCCTCGGACTTTACTCTGTTGACGACTACTCTCTGTGTTCTGTTAGTGAGGAAATTATAGATCCATCGACCGACTTTTCCTGTTATTCCTTTAGCATGCATTTTGTGCGCTATTATGCCATGGTCACACTTGTCGAAGGCTTTTGCAAAGTCTGTATATATTACATCTGCATTCTTTTTGTCTTCTAGTGCATTTAGGACCTTGTCGTAGTGATCCAATAGTTGAGAAAGACAGGAGCGACCTGTTCTAAACCCATGTTGCCCTAGGTTGTGTAACTGATGGGTTTCTAGATGAGTGGTGATCTTGCTTCTTAGGACCCTTTCAAAGATTTTTATGATATGGGATGTTAGTGCTATTGGTCTGTAGTTCTTTGCTGTTGCTTTTACTGCCCCCTTTGTGGAGTGTGAATAAAAATTTGAAATGAAAAGCAAGCATAATATAAGAAGTTCCTGGAGAGATGACTAATGAACAGAGAAATTGTTATTTTAGTGTCAGGAATGTCTTCATTATTTATTCTGAACCCTATTTGGAAAATGGTCTTTCTTGAATTTTGAGTGAAATTGGAAAAATTAGTATTTTCTGATCAATTTACTGAGTAGTTGAAATAGGTAAATGGGCAGCTTCTTGTACTCAATCGATAGAATGAAAGGAGTTCTAACATCATAACTATGAGTTTGGTTGACTGGAACACTAGAATTGGCCCAAATTATGGCTGAAAAGAGGCAAAATCACTGATAAGTAAATATAGCATGACTACTAAATTTGTGAGAGCGTAATTCCAAAAGTTTTCCATCAAATTTTTGTGCTTTTCGGTCACAACCTTTCCTAGCCCTACCTTTTGCACACTCCTACAACACATTAGTCTCTGACCTTTGTATATTCCTTCTTTAGCACAATTCACCCTGCTGTGCTCTATGACCTTTTCAGGTTTAGCACCTTGATTATATTACTGCTTCTCCTCACTCAACAACAGAGTTCCGTTCCTAAGACCATGTTGGTATACAAATTTATCGCTAAGTGAGGAGCATAATATAATGATAGTGGGTTTGTGTCAACCATGTTTGACATTGTTTTAATGTCATCTTTGCTCCATTTATTACATTTCTGGTATATTTTTAAATGTTTATATAGTAGTGTACTGTATATTGTAATAAGCAGAATACAGGAAATCAGCTCTAATATACATTATTTAGGTATGCATACTGGTCAGAGAGCCCATCGTAAGTCTGAGGTGTCGGTAAACGAGTACGTCGCTAAGTGAGGAAAGGCTGTATTAATATTATTATACTCCAAAAATATAATAAAAATTAAGATGTTTGTGCTGAAGTCATATTGTTTACTCAGTTATTAGTTAACATAATTATTATATACAACTTGTGATTTATCTTGAAGATCTTTACAGATAAACATTTAAGTGAGAATTTTATTTAGTGAAGCATGTGACAATAAAAAAAAAATCTTTTTAGTTGAGTATGTTGTGTTGGTAATTGTGGAATATTGTGCTATACTGACTCAAGTTTCTATTGCAGACGTATTTTGTGGAAGACTACCAGGTTGTGTCTTGCCAGACACTATATCTTCAGTACTTCAAGAAGCACCAGTGTAAGTGTCTTGAACAACAACTGATATTGCAGAAGTATTTTGTGGAAGACTACCAGGCTGTGTCTTGCCAGACACTATATCTTCAGTACTTCAAGAAGCACCAGTGTAAGTGTCTTGAACAACAACTGATATTGCAGAAGTATTTTGTGGAAGACTACCAGGTGTTCTTACAGACACTATATCTTCAGTACTTCAAGAAGCACCAGTGTAAGTGTCTTGAACAACAACTGATATTGCAGAAGTATTTTGTGGAGGACTACCAGGTTGTGTCTTGCCAGACACTATATCTTCAGTACTTCAAGAAAGGCAACAGATGTTCTTATTGTGAATTTTTAACTAGATATTACTAATTAAACAATTTTGCTTTTGATATTGGGCCTAAACATGAGAGAATGCATCTATGTGATAAGTGTGCACTATATAAAACAAATCCTGCAGCAGGCAATGCTTGAGAAAAAACAAAGTGCAACTGTGTTTTTGGATTAAAACAGCAAATTTTTGGTGTATTTTCATGTTTTTTTATAGTAGCATTCACCGTTTGTTAGTCTCATTTGATAAAATAGAGGATGTATTACAGAAATGACTTTGATGGATTTTAGTACAGAAAATAACTTGAAATTGAGTTCAGAGTAGTGGAAATGTTCTGTTTTTGCTGATATTAGAGGATAAACAATCACATTATGTGTCCAATACACGTCAGCTGGCGGGTTTAATGTGTGCTGCTGTATGCACTTATATTATTTATACAGTTATTACAGTATTGCATAACAGTAACTTTTCTATTTTTTGTGTGCATAAAAATAATTTGTGAATAAGAAATCAAAGTGAAATTCATCTGTTAAGCCTACAAATATAACTAGTAGAAATTTTAGTTTAGTGCCAGGTTGACTGCATTGATTATTCTGGACCCTATTTTGAAATTGGAATATTTTGAATTTTGTGTGAAATTGGAATATTGTGAATTTTTTTGTGAAATTGGCCATATTTCCAATTTCCAATCACTTTATTGGGAAGTTGAAATAGTTGAATTAGGCAGTTTTATGTGTTTTATTGATAATATAGAACACATACTAGTGAAATAGCTAAGAATTTGGTCTAATGGAACTATGTAATTGGCCAAAAACAGGACTCAAAGTGGGCAAAATTGCCAATTAATAAATATTTCTGACACAGCAAAATTTACAGGAGTATAATAACCTCATCAATTTTTATAAAATTATTTCATTTTATTATATTAAGAAAAAGATTCTCTATGATTTCCTAAGAGAAAATAATATTTTTTAGACCCGGTGGGGAATTTTGAGATTGTGTGTCTGAACCCTCAAGGGTCAATAATAATAATATTGTTGAGTGTATCTGCAGTGTTCTAGTACATATATTAATCTGAACCCTCAAGGGTCAATAAAAGAATAAAGAGAAATTTGTTTAAACACAAGAACAAATAATAATAATAATGATAATAATAATAACAATAATAATAATAATAATATTGTTGAGTGTATCTGCAGTGTTCTAGTACATATATTAATCTTTTAACACAAAACTAAAATTATGAATGTGTTTTAACAATATGAACTTTATTAGTGCTCATAAGTAGAAAAAGTTTTGCCTAAATAAATCTTAACATGGGAATATGTTCATAAGGAAAACCATGTGTTCAGTGTTCAAAATAGTTAAAAAAAATCATAAAGTAGACTTGTGAGAACATAAGGAAGATTAACTATAAAACTGTTGTATGACTAAAATATTTTAAATGAAATACCTTCATTTAAAAAATATGGGAAAACATAAAGAACACAAACCATATGAATGTTCTGAGTGTCTGAAATGTTTTAGTAAAAAAAGGCATCTTGTGTCACATGCGAGAGTACATACAGGAGATAAACCATATCAATGCAATGAGTGTCTGAAATGTTTTAGTGTAAAAGGCAGTCTTGTGAAACATATGAGACAACATACAGGAAATAAACCATATCAATGTTCTGAGTGTCTGAAATGTTTTAGTGAAAAAAGCAATCTTGTGAAACATATTAGAGTACATACAGGAGATAAACCATATCAATGTTCTGAGTGTCTGAAATGTTTTAGTAAAAACAGTAATCTTGAGACACATGCGAGAGTACATACAGGAGATAAACCATATCATTGTGCTGAGTGTCTGAAATGTTTTAGTCATAAAAGCAGTCTTGTGGCACACATGAGAGTACATACAGGAGATAAACCATATCAATGTTCTGAGTGTCTGAAATGTTTTAATAAAAAAAGCAGTCTTGTGACACACATGAGAGTACATACAGGAGATAAACCATATCAATGTTCTGAGTGTCTGAAATGTTTTAATCAAAAAAGCAATCTTGTGAACCATATTAGAGTACATACAGGAGATAAACCATATCAGTGTTCTGAGTGTCTGAAATGTTTTAATCATACAGGCAGTCTTGTGACACACATGAGACTACATACAGGAGATAAACCATATCAATGTTCTGAGTGTCTGAAATGCTTTAATAAAAAATGCAATCTTGTGACACACATGAGAGTACATACAGGAGATAAACCATATCAATGTTCTGAGTGTCTGAAATGTTTTAGTCAAACAAGCACTCTTGTGACACACATGAGAGTACATACAGGAGATAAACCATATCAATGTTCTCAGTGTCTGAAATGTTTTAAGCAAAAAAGTAGTCTTGTGACACACATGAGAGTACATACAGGAGATAAACCATATCAATGTTCTGAGTGTCTGAAATGTTTTAATAAAAAATGCAGTCTTGTGACACACATGAGAGTACATACAGGAGATAAACCATATCAATGTTCTCAGTGTCTGAAATGTTTTAATCAAAAAGGTAGTCTTGTGACACACATGAGAGTACATACAGGAGATAAACCATATCAATGTTCTGAGTGTCTGAAATGTTTTAATCAAAAATGCAGGCTTGTGACACACATGAGAGTACATACAGGAGATAAACCATATCAATGTTCTCAGTGTTTGAAATGTTTTACTATAAAAAGAAGTCTTATAAGACACATGAGGCTACATACAGGAGATTAACCATATCAGTGTTCTGAGTGTCTGAAATGCTTTAATAAAAAATGCAATCTTGTGACACACATGAGAGTACATAAGAACATAAGAAAGAATGAACACTGCAACAGGCCTACTGACCCATGCAAAGCAGGTCCATGTCCCCCCCCCCAGATTAGACCAATGACCCACCCCCCGGATTATCCCAATGACCCACCCAGTCTGGTCATCCCCACTCAAGGATAGAGCACTGTACCAGACACAGCAGCAAAACTAGTCAGGTCCATCTCACACCCACTCATGTATTTATCTAACTTATTTTTAAAACTACACAATGTTTTATCCTCAATAACTGTACTCTGGAGCTTGTTCCACTCATCCACAACTCTATTACCAAACCAGTGTTTTTCTATATCCTTCCTGAATCTGAATTTTTCCAACTTGAAACCATTGCTGTGAGTCCTGTCTTAGCTGGAAATTTTCAGCACACTATTTACATCCCCTTTATTTATTCCTGTTTTCCATTTATACACCTCGATCATATCCCCCCTAATTCTATGCCTTTCGAGAGAGTGCAGATTCAGGGCCCTCAGGCTATCCTCATAGGAAAGATTTCTGATACATGGGATCATCTTTGTCATCCTCCTTTGTACGTTCTCCAGAGCATTTATATCCATTCTGTAATACGGTGACCAGAACTGAGCAGCATAGATAAACCATATCAATGTTCTGAGTGTCTGAAATGTTTTAATCAAAAAAGCAGTCTTGTGTCACTCATGAGAGTACATACAGGAGATAAACCATATCAATGTTCTGAGTGTCTGAAATGTTTTAATCAAAAAAGCAGTCTTGTGACACACATGAGAGTACATACAGTGGATAAACCATATCAATGTTCTGAGTGTCTGAAATTTTTTAATCAAAAAAACAATCTTGTGAGACATACTCAAGTTCATTCAAGAGATGAAACATGTTAGTGTTTAATATTTCAGAAATATTTTAGTTATAAACTCATCAGAATATATAAAAGGGATATACCATAACAGTTGTGGAAAATATTTTAATTTTCTGAAGCTATAGTGCCTAATAGGTGTTTAATGTGTTGATTTGGGTCAAAAATGTAATTGTATTTTGAATAGAACCAACCGGGTTCGCCCTGTGCCTGTGCGGATGTGCGGGGGAACAGGTCGGCTCAGGGCATCAAGAAGCGGGAGTGTTTTGAATGGACTTAAGAGACTGTGAAAACATGGGACCAGGAAATTGGCATTCACAGCAGCCCAAGGATTAATATAGGCCTCACTTCAGAATAGGAAGTGTCATAACTGTTCCTGGTGAAGAGTGAGGGCATGCGATTTACGGGACCACCATAATAAAGTGGTAAGATGAGTGAATAATGGTAGGACCGGGGGTGCCTGGCACATCGCCATGGAGTGTGTCCCGGGTTAACATACCCATGGGTTAATCATCGCTCATCGGTCTCAGATCTTAATGGAGTGGCCTCCAATGTGTATAATAATTATGAGACATTAAACCGTATGGTGGGCTAAGAAGTAATCAGTGATAATAACACCAAGTTAAGAGAACGTGTGAAGTGAAATAAGTCGCCTTGCTCCGAGTGAACACACTAGACCACGTTGTTCCCGTCTCGAGGATAGTGAAGTTTTTATGGAGTCACGACTTCTAAACCCGGACAAACCAACAGATACCTCGTCCTGCTGGTGTTGGTGTAGCAGGACATCGAAATGAGATGGTGAATGGAGGAAATAAGGAGCATCAATCAACCACAGTTAAGTAACCCTTCTAGTTATAGCAGACTGATACTGGCCAGTTAGGTATGTTGTAATTGGATAGGTTATGGGTGATTCAGCTACATCAAGTGACCACCAGAGAATATCTGGTAAGTGGTGGGATTATGTACAAGTGTTTTTCCTCGATGGATATATCCATGTGTAACCTCCCCCCCTTCATTCAGTTAAACTAATGTAATCTATACAGTCCACAATTAATTAGTAGTGCCTGTCATGCCCCTATGGTTAACCTTTCTTTAATATTACATTGCGGTTATTTCCTTTAATAGCTAAATTGGAAATGAACGTCCTTGTATTATTAAGGCTAATTCTTATTAACAATTATTATAATTTATGTAACATGGCAATGATAAGTTTAATTGGAGGTATAGTAAGATGCCTGCCACCCGGTGTGCTGGTGTATGGTTAGCTGTGATGTTCGATGGTTATACCTCCCTTCCCCCCCTTTATGTTCAATTACTCTACTGAGTGTTGGTGAGTCACGTCACGTGACCCACTTGACCTGTATGCTCAAGGTTGAGGGACGAGCAGTGAAAAAATTAGCAGCCAACAAAAACACCCCTGCTCATCTCTGGTAACTGGCCAAGGTTCATTATCCGGCCTGGACATATTCTGTTTTATTCTGACTGCTTCCAATTGGGAAATAAGACTTTATACATTAAAGTAATCTCTGTATATACAGGAGGGCCCCACTTATATGGCGGGTTAGGTTCCAGGCTACCGCCGTAAAGCGGAAACAGCCATAAAGTGGAACACCCTTTTTTTCCACTTACAAATGCATACAAACACTAGATAACAAGTTTACACTAACATATATTATGTTAGCAATAGAACCAGGCATCAAAAAAACAATAAAAAAGTACAATACACACATAGTGCACTCATTACTTACCTTAAAATATTTATAGTCTTAATCTAGGGTGAGACAAGTAGTATTTATTGTAAGAAATCAAGTGTGGTATGTATGGTAGTCAGCCAGGCTACCATACCAGGCCACCCCACCCACACATACTATTCTATGATATTTAAGCATCCCAGAGCGATAAAATGTATATACAGTTCACTCATTACTTACCTTAAAATATAGGGTGAGATGAGTAGTATTTATTGTAAAATATCAAGTGTGGTATGTATGGTAGTCAGCCAGGCTACCATACCAGGCCAACCCACCCACACATACTATTCTATGATATTTAAGCATCCCAGAGCGATAAATGTATATACAGTTCACTCATTACTTACCTTAAAATATAGGGTGAGATGAGTAGTATTTATTGTAAAAAATCAAGTGTGGTATGTATGGTAGTCAGCCAGGCTACCATACCAAAGAGAAAGAATGAGTGCATGAGAGAGGACAGGCGCAGAGTTATGTAAACAAACCAGGCGAAGGTAAGTTTTGTAAACAGTGTACACGTCTGGTTTGTGTACAAGTTACATTGTGTATAGGTTGTCTCTACATTGATACGGTAGAATAAATAAAGAAGAACACTCCCATTCTCATGTAACATCATTTTGAGAAGAAATGATGCTCTGAGTGAAGGCAATGGAAGTAAGTCACTCTGACTTTTTTGGGTTATCCTAGGTTCTCTACACATATGTTATTATGTATTTATGTTATGTATCGTGTTTATTATATAATTTTAAAAAAAATATCACGGATGGATTAATGAAAATGTGTATATTAACGTAATATACAACATTTAATGATACACCGAGCTCAGACAGCATAAACAAACAAACTGAACAGGTTGTGGATGATCACTCGGTCAGGCGAAATAGACGGTATTAATACGTGTCCAGTTTTAGTTCATTCATGTACATTTGTAAGAGTTTGTGAAACTTTTACCTTATAATATTTTTATTATTATTATAATAATTAAATCACGAAACAAATACTCTTACACTGTGTACAAGTTAGTACAGAATTATAGCTATAAAGTGAAGGCATACGAAAGGAATATTTTTCTACAGTTATCCCTAGTAACAGGTGATGGGCTAGAGAAAACGTAATTCTTCCGACACTTCTACAAACCGTTTGATAAACATCTCATATATATTTGTATAAATTTTTATTCTGTGGGTGCATGTATCATGTTTGTGTGTTACATAATGTGTTTCTTATATAATTTTGAAAAAAATATCATAGATAGATTAAGGGAAATGTCTATATTAACGTAATATGCGACATTAATGCGCCCAAGAGATTATTATTATTACTATTATTATTATTATATTATTATTATTATTATTATTATTATTATTACTGCATCAAGAGTAGAGAGACTCTTAGTGATTTTAATGTGTACCTACATGCCAGCACAGTGTGTAAGTTTATTTAGGTACAGGTGTACACAAGTTTAATTATCAAGTACAATACATATAAAATATACAATAACTTTAAAACACTTGAAATTTTGGAAAGTTTCCAGACATAATAAGGAGATGTGCTCAGGGAGAATGTAAACAAACTCGGTGGTCCGCTGTGACCGTATTAGAAAGACAGGTGGGGGGAGCCGTATAGCGAGTTTTGGTCATAATTTGAAATGTCCGTATTAGCGGAACGCCATAAAGCGAAACGCCGTAAAGCGGGGCCCTCCTGTATATATATATATATATACGGACATTTCAAATTATGACCAAAACTCGCTATACGGCTCCCCCCACCTGTCTTTCTAATATGGTCACAGCGGCCCACCGAGTTTGTTTACATTCTCCCTGAGCACATCTCCTTATTATGTCTGGAAACTTTCCAAAATTTCAAGTGTTTTAAAGTTATTTTATATTTTATGTGTATTGTACTTGATAATTAAACTTGTGTACACCTGTACCTAAATAAACTTACACACTGTGCTGGCATGTAGGTACACATTAAAATCACTAAGAGTCTCTCTACTCTTGATGCAATAATAATAATAATAATAATAATAATAATAATAATAATAATAATAATAATAATAATAGTAATAATAATAATCTCTTGGGCGCATTAATGTCGCATATTACGTTAATATAGACATTTCCCTTAATCTATCTATGATATTTTTTTCAAAATTATATAAGAAACACATTATGTAACACACAAACATGATACATGCACCCACAGTATAAAAATTTATACAAATATATACGAGATGTTTACCAAACGGTTTGTAGAAGTGTCGGAAGAATTACGTTTTCTCTAGCCCGTCACCTGTTACTAGGGATAACTGTAGAAAAATATTCCTTTCGTATGCCTTCACTTTATAGCTATAATTCTGTACTAACTTGTACACAGTGTAAGAGTATTTGTTTCGTGATTTAATTATTATAATAATAATAAAAATATTATAAGGTAAAAATTTCACAAACTCTTACAAATGTACATGAATGAACTAAAACTGGACACGTATTAATACCGTCTATTTCGCCTGACCGAGTGATCGTCCACAACCTGTTCAGTTTGTTTACGCTGTCTGAGCTCGGTGTATCATTAAATGTTGTATATTACGTTAATATACACATTTTCATTAATCCATCCGTGATATTTTTTTTCAAAATTATATAATAAACATGATACATAACATAAATACATAACAACATATGTGTAGAGAACCTAGGATAATCCAAAAAAGTCAGAGTGACTTACTTCCATTGCCTTCACTCAGAGCATCATTTCTTCTCAAAATGATGTTACATGAGAATGGGAGTGTTCTTCTTTATTTATTCTACCGTATCAATGTAGAGACAACCTATACACAATGTAACTTGTACACAAACCAGACGTGTACACTTCGTTTGTTTACAAAACTTACATTCGCCTGGTTTGTTTACATATCTCTGCGCCTGTCCTCTCTCATGTACTCATTCTTTCTCTCTCTCGTTTATTCGTTTTATCTAATTTACTTACTCCTGACCCTACATTAAGACTACAAATATTTTAAGGTAAGTAATGAGTGAACTGTATATACATTTTATCGCTCTGGGATACTTAAATACCATAGAATAGTATGTGTGGGTGGGGTGGCCTGGTATGGTAGCCTGGCTGACACCATACATACCACACTTGATTTCTTACAATAAATACTACTTGTCTCACCCTAGATTAAGACTATAAATATTTTAAGGTAAGTAATGAGCGCACTGTGTGTGTATTGTACTTTTTTATTGTTTTTTGATGCCTGGTTCTATTGCTAACATAATATATGTTAGTGTAAACTTGTTATCTAGTGTTTGTATGCATTTGTAGTGGAAAAAAAGGGTGTTCCACTTTATGGCGGTTTTCCGCTTTATGGCGGTAGCCTGGAACCTAACCTGCGGTATAAGTGGGGCCCTCCTGTATAATATATATATATATATATATATATATATATATATATATATATATATAATTATATATATATATAATATATATATAATATGTTATATCTAGGATCTCCTCCTAATCATCTGTTATGAAAGCCTTGTATATTTTGGACAATATAGAACAAACATGCATTCTTAACTTATATACGATAATTTGTATATTATTATTTCTGGCTTTTTGTTGTATCATGAATATACTTAATTAAAATTAGTCATTCTGGAGGATCACTATTATTACCCTAACCTCTCTGACCAAAGTTGTTATGCTCTAAGCAGAAGGAAATAGTGGTTACAATACTTGGAGTATAACAAGTGGGGACCTGTGTCCGGGAACATTACATGGAATTTCATTTAAAATGAATGTAGAGATGGCAGAGAGGTTTGAAGACATAACAAAGGACAGATTACAGAATTTGAAGCTTCAATCTTGTTTGCAATTAGCACGAAGCTTTGGCATAAAATACGACAGGCATTTTACTGCCCAGACAGTCAGATGTATGATACAGAATGTCCTTTTTCCAGATGAGCAGGATCCAGAGACTGAGAATGGAGAAGCAGATATTCCTTCTTTTTTGAATTCTTTACTACAGACACCCGAGGCCGAAACTACGATGCTAACAACCCCTACTGGAGACGACGGACATGAACTTCCCGATACTCGGAAACACTACGCTGCTACAACGACTCCAATTCCATCTCCAAGGACTGTATGGGGAACAGAACTCCATCAGGCTAAAGAAACAGTTCCAGGTAAACCCTTTACAGATGTTTTTGAAACGGAACAAGAGAAAGTCGTATTGGATGATGAACACGTTCCATTTCAAATCTCTTTAGCCCTTTTGACTGCTATTCAATCTAAAGAGAATTTCGAACGTCTAGAATGTATTTTATCGCTTCAAACCTCCTTTGTAGAAGCCCAGAGAAAACTAAAAAGGAAGAATTTTGAACGCAAATCTTTGCTTTATGAACGGGAAATACTGAGGAAGAAAAGAGAATCAAGTAATATGTATACAATCCCTTCATTCGACCTTAGTAAAGCAGCCTCTTTGATGCCCAGATTTACTGAGGATAATTTAGATTCATTTTTCGAGGCATTCGAAAATCAGGCGAAGGTGATGCAATGGCTTCCTAAATATTCGGCTGCTTTAATACATTCATCTTTAATAGGAAAAGC